AACACGTTCTGAACAGAGGAGACAGATGCCATTGTAGCACGTTAAATGATACCGACAGTTGGAGTTGGTAGTTGCACATTAGAATATATCCTGACTCAGAGAGAAAGTGCAGGAACTAGTTGATGAGACCGCAAGGAACCAACTTGACATACTTAAATCTCGTTGGCGAAGCGCCAAGGCCCTGAAACTCTGAACCCTCACTGGTGGAAGCTATTCAACTCAGGGGTCAATATCACGACGCGCGCTCAGGCCGGTGTTGGTGTTCTGGTAAAACCAAACCTCGCCGATGAAATCATTGATTGGAAGCCTGTCAGCATAAGGGTGGTAATCCTTTGACAGAAGCTACAACAGGCTAAAGCGTTGACCTCGGTACAGGTCTATGCACCCAATTTGGAGGGAGAATATAATACCTCCCATGAGGAAGTGCAGTGTGCTCTGTCCAAAATGCACAATATGGAATCCCTCATACTTATGGTCGATTTTAATAAGGAGTAGTCGCTAAAAAGTGGAACGGCGTGATCGAAAAAAACGGCCCCAACGACTTCAACAATAAGAGCATGAAGTTGTTGCAGTTTTGCGCAAAAAACACTTTCATCGAGTGTCGAAGAGTGCATCAGTACACCTGTTACAGGGAAGCTTGTGCACAGAAGTCGATGACCGATTTGATAATCGTATCGTCTGACTTACGACGCTGTGTAATGGATGTTCAAGCTAATCGATGGGCCGATTCTCCAAGCGATCATCACTTTATTTCTGGTACCCTCCGCTGTAAACGATTGGGGGTACAATATGTGAAGATCTGACGACAGAGGCAACCAAGGAATCAAATGGGAAACATTATCTTCTGCAGAAACGAACCTTGTAACCTTGTAGGCAGCATCGCACGATGGTTTGAACAGATCTCAATGATAGCCGCTGATATAGGAACTGAACCGAAGCTCTTTAAGAGCAGTTGCTCGAGACTGTCGCGGAATGCTGCGGACTGAATTGAGTTGGCCTGCAGCCTGAAGCTCAGAAAAGAACTTGTTGGTGGATACGAAGGGTACAAC